AAGATTTTGATGTCTATCAAATGGATGTGAAGTGTGCATTTTTAAATGGAGAGCTTGAAGAAACTGTTTACGTGGAACAACCCCCAGGTTTTATTAACGAAGAATATCCTAATCATGTTTATGTTTTAGATAAGGCAGTTTATGGTTTGAAACAAGCACCACGAGCATGGTATGCAACTCTTACATCATTTTTGAAACAATCTAAATTTAAACAAGGATCTGTTGATCCCACATTATTTCGAAAGAAAGTGGGGAATCATCTTATGCTTGTTCAAATTTATGTTGATGATATTATTTTTGGCTCGACTGACCCTGCTTTGTCTAGAGAATTCGAAGATTTGATGAAAAGCAAGTTTGAAATGAGCATGATGGGAAAAATCAATAATTTCCTTGGATTGAATATTCGTCAAAGCAGAGAAGAGATTTTCATTAATCAGGAAAAATATAAGAAAAATCTGCTAGAAAAGTTTGGATTGACGAATAGCACAAAGCTTCGTGTACCAATGGCAACAGGCATAAAGTTAACACCATCGTTAGACAAACCTGCTGTTGATATAACGTTATATAGGAGCATGATTGGTTCATTACTTTATCTTACAGCAAGTAGACCTGATATCATGTTTTCTGTGTGTAATTGTGCTAGGTATCAGTCTAATCCACGCGAACCACATCTCACTGCTGTGAAGAATATTTTTCGTTACCTTAAAGGAACAATTTCGTTAGGATTGTGGTATCCTTCGAAAACAGGATTTTTCGTACAAGCATACTCAGACGCGGACTTGGGTGGTTGTAATCTTGATCGAAAAAGCACAAGTGGTGGATGTCAATTTCTTGATGGCAAATTAGTAAGCTGGCAGTCGAAAAAGCAAACATGCGTGTCAATTTCCACAGCTGAAGCAGAATATGTGGCTGCTGCTGCTTGCACTTCACAAATAATATGGATCCAAAGTCAATTGCGTGATTATGCAATTAATATGAAAAAGATTCCATTATATTGTGATTCTCAAAGTGCGATAAGAATTTGTCATAATCCTGTGCAACATTCGAAGACTAAACACATAGCTCTTCGTTATCATTTCATTAAAGATCATATGGAGGATGGAAATATTGAAGTACATTTCGTGAAAACATCTGATCAGTTAGCTGATATTTTCACGAAACCTTTGGATGAAAAGTCATTTGTGAGAATAATAGAAGGGCTTGGAATGATCGATGGAAATTCTGTTCCATGCGAAAAAGAAAACTGATGAGTGACAATGAATGAATCAGAGGCGCTGAATAAAAGAGAACACAAAGTCATTCAATATTCAGCGGCTACTGTTCCTGGTCAACGCTTCGACCGCTTCGAATTCGCACGTTTGTCACTTATTTTAAAGCGTTGAGTTAGTGGTTACTGTTCATAGTCAACGCTTCGACCGCTTCGAATTCGTACATTTGTTACTCATAAAAGAAGCTGTTTGCAACAAATATAGTATCTTTTTCAACTTTTCGAAAAATCAAAAATTCAAAAAGATTTTCTTTTGTTTTTTTCTTAAATTTTCGAAAAATTCAAAATTCCAAAAAGATTTGCTTTTGTTTTGTTCTTTAATTTTCGAAAAATTCAAAAATCCAAAAAGATTTTCTTGAGTCTTGTTCTTAAAATTTTCGAAAAATTCCAACATTCAAAACGATTTTCGTTTATTATGTCTTTATTTTCGAAAAATCCAAAACCACAAAAATAATTTGATTTTTACTTCTTTTTAGTATTTTGTTGCAGATATTGATCACAATACAGAGGGGATTAAGCATGTCGTACTAGGATCAGGTACAATTTTTTTGAATTAGTTAGGTTGTCCCTAGAAGCATGCTGCTGCATGTTGCCCAAAAGCCTCCATGACTCAATGTGTGTGTACGAAAGCCTTAATGAAATTTTTCATACGAAAATTTCTTCCCAATCAGGCTTATATTCATATTAGTCTCTGAGCTACCTGACTCTTCTCAAAATGAGTTAAGAGTTTTCTGTTTGGTCCAAGATCATAACAGAGGTATACTTCGTGTCTTATACCAATCTTTTTCATCTATAAAGTTCTTACACGATCACACACAAAGACATATGTCCGAGAGGTCTCTGATCAAACCTATCGAGACTTAGATATATCAAAACTCTGTGTTTATGATCTAACATCATGAGTCCATGATGAAAGTGAAACTCAAATTTCTTGCAAAGTTAAGGAATTGACGGGGAACTAAGTTCCAGATGTTTACGAAACTTTTGTTTCTGTACCAAAGTTCGAAACTCCAAATCATATTCATTTCGAATGCGTGGTCTTGATCAAACATTCGAAACCCACGATGTTTGTTACCCAACAAGGTCCAATACATAATTTTTTTTTTCTTGAATATGATTTCTGTGTGAGTTTCATTCGAATGTCCTAGTCATGATTAAAATTTCTCAAAGCAACTTGTCACTGACTACACTGGTCAAACAAGTAATTTCTGTTACAATTTATCACCTTATGTTTAGGTTGACATGTAACGAAATTTTGAACCTACCCACGAAGCATTCTCAAAAGAAGCCCTTTGATACTTATCCAAAAGTATTCGATTGTAATTCACGGGAACATACACAAGCAGTTAATCATCTCTCTTGATGATTAACGAAGCAACCTTTGCCCGGGGTTTACCAGCCTTCGTGTCAAATTAAATTTTTGACATCACAAAATCCCAAAATTTTTATTTCTTTGTTTCTTGTCTAACTTTCTTTGGAACACTGCACACACGAAATCCTTGAGGTTCTGAGTAATACCAACTCAGGCTGATGATTTCGAACATCTGGCATACGACTTCGCTTTTTATCCCAAAAGTGAAAGAGCCTTGCTTCCATTCGAAGGGTTCCGACGGTTACAATTCTCTTATAGGGGTAATGACAGGCTGGGTATAGATGACGTATGGTATTCTGTCCGGTTTTCTAGGTGATGTGATAGACACTTTTTGACGCATGGCTATCTTTACGCAGTAATGGTCCGATTTTTAAGATGCCACGTCGGATCTCATTAAAGGCATCCCGCTTCAAATTCAAAAATTCAGGGTTACATATAAAAGGGGATTCCAGGGTTAATTCTCCGTTTATGCGATCAAAAAGCAAAATACACAAATTCTTTGTTCATCATTCTCTTCAAACCCTAACAATGGCAACTTCTGCTCATGTCGATCCTTCCACTGAAGATATTTCATCCGCACCAGTTATGAAGATTCAATCCACTAACTACTATGTGGATGGTGAAATTTCTCAATATCCCGAGGAATTGAAGATGCTCATCGTTGCTCTGAAACACTCTGTTTTATCCACGGCGATGTTCAATTCTTTTTCAGTTCCAATATCCTGGCTTTCTCAAGCAGGATCCACTGCAACATACAACAAAGCCTCAGATACAATCACTTTCCATCTTGTGAATGACAAAAAGGTTAGGTTATCTAAGAAACTTTTCTGTTAGATTCTTGCCATTCCGAATTCGCCTCCTTTTGTTGAATTCACATTCCCACAAATTGTCCATATGTTTAATGAAATGGGATATCAGCCCCCATTGTCAAAAATCAGTGATTTTAAGAAGTCTGGACTTCCACGGTTATGGAATTTCTTGTTTGGGATCTTTTTAAGATGTTTGACTGGAAGAACTGTTGGCTTAGACAAAGGAAGGATGGAGATGTATGCTATGGTTGCAGGCCTCTACTATGATCTTGAAGCAGATTTTCTACACAATTATGGAAGGAATTCCAAAAGGGTGTAGAACATACGAATGCTGTTCATGGCATTTCGTGTGCACGATATTGGAGCCTTATTTTACAGTATTTTTATAATAAGGAAGGAATTTTAGTATCAAATGAAGAAGAGAAGGTTACTTTTCAATCTTATCATTATCCGAAGGAGGTTGTCGATGATGCTGATACTTTTCCAAGTGTTGCTCGGATTCCAGATGCAATGCTTAAAAGGGTGGATCCTACGAATCCGATTTTGGTAGCATATCTGAAAACGGTTGATTCTTCTATTCAGACTGGGATCTTGTTGCCTAGGGAAGAGAAGAAGTCCAAAAAGTCGAAGAAGGCTGATCCTGCTTCCTCTGAAAAGAAAACACAGGATTTGAAATCCTCCAAGTCTCCAAAGAAGAAGGTTGATGAAACCCAGGTGATTGAGCCAATTGTTGAAGAAACTCAAGAGAATGTTATAATTCCTTCGAAGACTGGGATGTTTCGAAGAATCAAGATGAAATCTCTTCGCAAACGCAAGTCACCTTCACAGAAAATGGTTCGAAACCTCAGATTACTCATCAGGGTGTGCTTATTCGTGAAGTACCAGCTCCTGTTTCTCCGGGGTCAAAGAAACGAGTAGCTGAGGATATGGCAAAACACTTGTCACAAACGAAGAAAAAGAAGAAGACGATGAAAGGATACCTGAAACCCTAGAGTTTACTCATCTCATTACAAGTTCAACTCCTGAGAAGATAGATGTCATACCACCCGAAGTTTCGATTGCCAAATCAATTTTTGAGGAGGTTCGAACTTCAGGCATCCCTATACACGTATCTGATACGGATACAAATGTCAATATGGGTGAAGGAGGTTCGAAGAATGTAGATCAAGGTACTCCTTTCAAAACAATTGTTTCTGTCATACCATCATCTACAATTCCCATTACATCAACCACAGACTCACCCACCTTCGAACAGATCATAAATCAACCATTTACTTCCATTTTCTCTTCTCAATCCACTGACCCAACAAAACCACCTTCGCCTATTCACGAAAACATTGATATGGAGACAGAAACAGACAATAAAGGCTTTGGAGGTACATTCGAAGATTTGGAATTTCATGAAGATGAAGAAGAATTTCCTGATCATATGCTAATGACAATGAAGCAGTATAACATTCTTAATCAGAAGTTGAACTCCTTAATTCAATCTCAAGCCGATCTTGGAGGAGCTTCATCAGTATCGAGTCTGGAAATCGATACTATGTTAAAGATGCTGGAATCAAGAATAATCAGCAAAGTTTCTGGAATGGTGAAAGCTTCAGAGTCAGTCATTTTGGAGAAGGTTGATTACACGGATCAGAATAATGAACTTCGTGTTAAAAATCAACGATCTGATTTTATGGGTGAAGCTAAGAATCTAAAAAGCATAACAAAAGAACGAAATATTCTTTTTGTTCAAGAAGTGAAGAAGGTAAGAGAAGATGTTAACAAGCAGATTCATGAACTCCGAGAAGAAATGCAAAAAGAAGTTGCAGCAGTACATCATGATAATGCATCAGTGAATCAGAAGGTCGATATCATTTGTGATGCAGTCACTCGTTTTGTCAAGTTATATGTGTTGGATAAGGTGCCTAAGTCCATAACTATTTCTGGTATGTACTTGACCCGACCCGACATGGTCCATTTGGGTTGCATGGCACCATGCAATTGGATAAACTAAAATGAGAGAAATAACACTTATGGTTTATTAATATATTATAAGTTCTAATATATTAATAATATTATTTAATTAGTTTGAACAAGAATTAATTTAGAATTAATTAAGTGATCAAAAGATAACTAATTAAATATATGGGTAGATTATGTAAATCTTCCATATCTTATATAGTGGGCTAAGAGGCTCCATGGATTATCAAGTTGGGTTCCACCCATAGGATGCTCCATGGATGCTCCATGGAGTTAACCCATCGATCATGAAATGAAGAGTCATGTTACATTAGGGTTTACCTAATGCAACACACTATATAAACAAAGGTGTTCTCCCCAAAATCGGCGACACTAAGAAATAAGAGGGCTAGAGCCGATTTTGCAAGTGTAAGATTCTCTCAAAGTTTACTCCTTTGCATTTGGTGTTGTGTGAAGCATTTGAGGCATCACACTTGGGGTGCTAGGCTCACAAGGTTTCAAGGATCATAATCAACAACAAGGTAAGTTATTCTATCTTTCATTTAAGTTAAAAATGTTCCCCATGTATGCTAGATAGGAATATAACCTTGGAATTCAACTTTGCATGATAATTAGACAAACATAGATCCAAGGTTATTAGGGTTGCATGTATACTTAGGAAGTGTTAGAATGCTCAAAACCCATCAGTGGTATCAGAGCCTAGGTTTGTTTGTTGTTTTTTTTGTGCAAGTTACTCGTCGAGTCTGTTCTTACACTCGACGAGTAGAGGCTGGAGTTTTCAGAATTTCGACATTTGTTGCTGGAAATGGACTAGAAACATTACCCTAAACTGTTTTGGTGTTTTAAAACTTGTTTTAGATGGTGTAATGTTTATGCTAATCCATTTACAATGGCAATTATCAAAATTACAAGTTTTTTAAGTGTAATTTTTGATTCTTGAAAGTGTTCATATTCATGTTCTTGAACTTATGAAGATTAGATGATCATAGGAATTGTATGTAACCTTCATGGTAGTTTAATTCATGATCATAATGTGTTTTAATGGAGTCCATAACTTGTTCTCAAGTTATGGAAAACCAAAAGTTTCACTTTTATTAAAGCCATTAAAAGAACACAAGAGTTATAAAAATGAAGAGTCTTCATTTTTATTACTCAATTAATTCATAAGTGATAAGAAATGAAAAGTTTTGGAAGTTTACAAAACTTGCCCTCAAGTTTTGGAACAAGTAAAGTCTTGATTAAAACTTTAGTTCCAACCCTTAGAATTTTAAAAGTTAAAATTCAACCCTTATACTTTATAATATTATAAGTTCCTAATATATATATATATATATATATATATATATATATATATATATATATATATATATATATATGTATGTATAAGATCAAGTCGTCTTATCGCTAGTACGCCTCATTCACGAAGCCGGTCTATAAGGGGGGTATAAGGTTGTTGCCTATAAAATGGCAACTTAATGGGTGTCCACTCTCACCCACCGCTTCCTTGATCGATGGAGGGTCGTTAGCCGAACGGGTAGGACAAGAACTTATAAATTCTCATTAAAAGTATGATGAATATTATAAAGTAACTAAATGCTTTTATTAAATTCCCAATTTTAGTTACTTTAGGAAAAATGTGAATAAGGTGCTAATCCATGAAATTACACTTTACACTTTGTTTAAGTCGTTGGTGGAGCGTGTGTGGTTAACCGGCACACTAACTTGGACTTAACAAGGTAGGTAAAGGGTGACTTAAGGTTTATCATATTATCGGTGGAGCGTGTGTGGTTTACCGGCACATCGATTGAGTGATAAACTTTAAGGGTACCAAGTGATTTGCATGGTTACTTCACACCTCGTTTTGTGATCCTCGGTATCCCAGTCACAAAACTTGGAGGGCACACTCGAGATTGAAACATGCCTTTGAAAAAAAAATTCACTGAATCTCAAAAGAATCTAGGAATTTCTAAGAACCAATTAAAAACCTAATATCTATATTTCGTTTTTCATGGTGGAAATTGGTGAATCGTCATTCACCTACCTTTCAAGTATATTATAGCTTGGATTACGACATACCTCTTCTAAGTTATAATATATTGTGATTGGATCCTAGCCTTAATATTACATTTGGGTGTTTTATTAAGGACTCTCTTAATATCTAAACTAATCTTGTTCTCTTCTTTCAGATGTCTTCAAACAATGCTGCTTCTGGCTCTAATCCTAATGGCTCCTTTACCCTTATGAACTTGTGTGGGAAAGTCACTTTTGATGGATCCTACTTCAATGAATGGATCAGAAACATCAGGATGATTACCCGCTACGAGGACAAAGAATATGTCCTTGACAAGGAGCTTAAGGAGATTGATGAGACCACTACAACTCCCCAGGAGATCGCTGACTTCCGGGCACATGAAAGGGATGCTACAAAAGTGGCATGCATCATGTTGGCCACCATGACAGCGGAACTCCAAAAGTCCTATGAGGACTTCTACCCTTTTGAAATGCACCAAGATCTGATGGAAAGATACCATCAAAGTGCACGACAAGAGAGGTATGAAATCATATTCTCTATCATAACAACCATGATGAAGGACGGGGAATCCGTCACGAGCCACATGCAGAAACTGCAAAGGTATGTGGATCGGTTGCTGAAGCTTAATGTGAACTTCCCTGAGGATCTTGCAATAGATATCATTTTGCACTCCTTACCATCGTGATATGATCAATTCCGCATGACATATCACATGAATAAGGAAGAGGTCACACTCAGCAAACTTCAGGGACTCCTCAAGACCGCAGAAACAGGTCTTAAGGGTAAGTCGGTTGTTAACACTCCTACTCCAAACTCCGCCCCGGTTTTGGCAATCGGGAAAGGTAGAGGGAAGAAGAGGAAGAGCTCTTCGAAGGGTACCAAGGCTAGGACCCTTGATGGCTCTTCTTCAAGTGGAACCAAGAAAGGTTTTGTCACTCCTTCTTCTGACCCTAAAGAGGCTGAATGCTTCTATTGCCATGAAAAGTCACATTGGAAGCGGAACTGCCCAAAGTACCAGCAAGATGTGAAGGATGGGAAAGTTAAACCCAACCATGCAAAGTATTTACACTATCTTATCTAATAACTCACCCCATTCTAACTCTTGGGTCCTTGATACTGGTTGTGGTATTCATATATGTTCTGATTTGCAGGGACTAAGAAGAAGTGAGAATGTGGAGCATGGAAGAATAAACTTAATCATGGGGAATAGGAAAGCTTTACCTGTCATCGAGATTGGAGTTTATACTTTATCGCTAAGTAGTGGGTTTAGTTTAGATTTGAATAAATGTTGTTATTCGCCAGAAATGGCAAGAAATATTATTTCCTTTCATGCATTGTATAAACAAGGTTTCACCTTTTCATTTGATAATGAAGTTGGTTCGATTAATGCTTTCTTTAATAATGTTCTTTATTTTAAAGCATTACCTTGTGATGGTGTGTATGAAACTGTATCTGTGTTTGATAACTTAGGAAATAATGTATTGTGTATTGATTCTGTTAATGATAATAACTTGGATAAAGCATCATTATGGCATTGTCGTCTTGGACATATAAGCAAGAAACGCATAGGCCAACTCCAAAAGGATGGAGTATTGGAGTCATTTGACCTAAAGTCAGATGATAGTTGCGAATCATGCTTACTTGGAAAAATGACAAAGTCACCCTTCACAGGTTCTTGTGAGAGGGGTGAAGGTTTGTTGGATCTTATACACACGGATGTGTGTGAGCCCTTCAAACATGCCACAAGGGATGCTAATCGTTATTATTTGACTTTTACTGATGATTACAGTAGATATGGATATGTCTACTTAATCAAGCATAAGTCAGAGACTTTTGAGAGGTTTAAAGAGTTTAAACAGGAAGTCGAGAATCAATTGGGCAGGAACATTAAGATGCTTCGATCCGATCGAGGTGGTGAGTATCTTAGTTCAGAGTTCCTCGACTATCTTAGGGAATGTGGGATTGTCTCACAATTGACACCTCCCAGGACACCGCAGTTGAATGGTGTAGCTGAGAGGCGTAATCGAACCTTGTTGGATATGGGTCGTTCCATGATGAGTCGAGCTTCGCTACCAATCTCATTTTGGGGGTATGCCTTAGAGACTGCTGCCCATATCCTTAATCTAGTTCCCACAAAGAAAGTTGCCAAAACTCCTCATGAGATGTGGACTGGTAAAGTACCCAAACTAGACCACATTAAGATTTGGGGTCGCGAGGCTTTCGTGAGACGCGAGACTCATGATAAGCTCGAACCTCGAAGTGAGAGGTGTATTTTCATCGGCTACCCACAGAAATCCTTTGGTTACCTCTTCTACAGACCTAGTGAGAATGTGGTCTTTGTAGCTAGGAGGGCGTTCTTTCGAGAGAGAGAGTTCATAAGCCAAGGAGACAGTGGGAGGCAAGTTGACCTTGAAGAAATTCAAGAGTCAAGTGGTGAAGGAACTTCAAACCCTAGCACTCAACTTGAGGAGGAAACTTCTGTTGAGCCAATTGACAAGTCTGTACCTCGAGGCGTTCCACAAGGGTTAGGAATGCACCTGAGCATTACTATGGATTCCATATTACTGCGGAAGGTGATACACTTATCAGTGATGAGACACTGATAGGTCTGGATGAACCTAACAGTTACGCGGAAGCCATGGCAGGCCCTAAGTCAGCCAAGTGGAAAGAGGCAATGGACAGCGAGATACAGTCCATGTATGACAATCAAGTTTGGAACTTGGTTGAGAATGTACCAGGTCGTAAGACTGTAGGGTGCAAATGGATCTTCAAGAAGAAGACCGACATGGATGGTAATGTACACACTTATAAGGCACGACTGGTTGCAAAGGGTTTCTCACAAACTCCGGGAGTTGATTATGATGAGACCTTTTCTCCAGTGGCCAAGATTAAGTCTATTAGGGTTCTGTTAGCCATAGCCGCATTTCATGACTATGAAATATGGCAAATGGATGTCAAAACCGCTTTCCTTAATGGAAAGTTGGCTGAGGATGTTTACATGAGTCAGCCAGAGGGTTTTGTCAACACAGAGTACCCTAATAGAGTGTGTAAGCTTGAGAAATCCATTTATGGGTTAAAGCAAGCACCTCGCAGATGGAATCTTTGCTTTGATGAGAAAGTCAAGGAATTTGGCTTTTCTAGGAGTGAAGATGAATCTTGTGTATATGTCAAGGCTAGTGGGAGTATAGTTAGCTTTTTGGTATTGTATGTGGATGACATACTACTCATAGGAAATGACATCCCAACTCTGCAGAAAGTTAAGTCCTGGCTTGGGAAGTGTTTCTCTATGAAGGACCTAGGAGAAGCTGCCTATATTCTAGGGATAAGGATCTTGAGAGACCGGAGTAAAAGACTAATTGGACTTAGTCAGAGTACTTACTTGGATAAGGTGTTGAAGAGATTCGGCATGCAGGACTCCAAGAAAGGAGAGTTACCCATCCAGAGTAACGCGAGATTGAGTAAGAAACAAAGCCCTAGTACTGAGGCTGAGATAGCAGAAATGAGTCGAATACCTTATGCTTCGGCTGTAGGATCGATCATGTATGCTATGACG